TTTTTTTTGGTTTTTCTCCGGTACCGGGAACCGAACTCACGACCTTGCACTTGCCAGGCAGGCGCTTTGCCGCTGAGCTAAATCCCCCCCAAGGCTGGCCTTAAACTCACTATGTACTCTAAGTTAGGCTCAAACTCAGGGCGATCCTCTTGCCTCAGCCTCCGGAGTGCTGGGATTACAGGTATGCACCACCACTCCCGGCTCCAGCTTTTAGTTTTTCTCAGCACACGTGCCAGATATATGAGTACAGAATTCTCTAGATGTTCCAGCCCCAGCTGTTTCTAGGTGTCCCTTGTCCAAGCTATTCTAGTTTTCTAGCAGAGACCCCAAACACCGGGGAGCAGAGACAGCCATGTCAGCTGGGTTCTGTTGGAATTACAGACACACGGGATTTATGAACATCTTAAGAACATATTAATGTACATAAGGTTTGGCACCTAGGACACATCTGATTGACCAATCAGCTCCAGGACTCCACCCGCATTCTTTCTCTCTGGGCCCTTGGTCCAGCCCTCATCAACTCTTTCAGTCCAGCCGCTTTCTCTGCATCCAGGTTGCTTCGTCTCTCCTGCTGTAGCCAAGATGATTCGCCAACACCCAGTGATGACATCATTCCTCTGCTTCAAAGGCTTTTTATTGCTCATAGAATAAAAGTAAAGCTTAGCAGGCTCGATGTAGCCCTTTATGGTCTACTCCTGGCCCATGTCTCAAACTTTGTCTCTTATCACTCTCTCTGTTTTGCCCCAACCAGATGTTTCTGTTCCCAAGATGTGCCAGGCTCTCTACACCTCTGGGCCTTCCCACTGCTTGCTTCCTCTAATAACCAGAGGCTGGAAATCTTCCTTTGCCTTTGAAGATCTCTTCCTTTCTCCTGCACTTTGCTCCATGCCCTATAGGCTGAGACTTTATGAGCAACATCAGTGGAGTCCCTTGCTCTTGGGCTTTCCATGGGGCCGCCTGTTGGGCAGGGAATTGGAGGCAGGACAGGAGTGAAAATGCGTGTCTGTTTCCTATCTCCTCCCTTCCGGGCCCTGGGAGCCCATAGCTCTTGTGGGACCTCTCCTATGGCAGGCTCTCTTTCCCTGAGCTCTGGCAACCACTCCTTCCCATTGCTTTTCAGCAGATGATAGCCAAGGCTTCTAGCCTGAGTGCTTCATAGAGAATGATCCCTTGAGTATCTCTCTTAGGTTACTCTGTCTGATGTTCCATCCCTTGCATGTCGTGACCCTGACTGACATCTACTCAGTTATCCTGCAAAGATGAGGCCAGCCTCCTGAGCACTGGACTGTCTTTCTTTACCTGTTTCTACCAGGGCTGTGGAAAGATGTCCATTCTCAACCCTGTAACTCTCTAGGGTCTGTATTGTTATCTGCTAGGGAATCATCAAATTGATGAGGCATAACTAACTTCCTCTCCTCCTCCTCCTTCTTCTTTTTTGAGACAGGGTCTCACTATGTAATTCAGGCTGGCCTCTAACTTACTATGTAGCCCACTCTGGCCTCAGACTTGCAGCTATCTTCCTGCTTCAGCCTCCTGAGTGCTGGGATAATAGGTGTGCACTACCGTACCAGGCCACAACTGTCCCTATGGTTTTGCCTTTTCTAGGAAGTCATATAAATGAGAACTTGGTACATTGTTTATTTTGTTCCTGGCTTCTTTAAGTTAGCACAATGCTTCTGAGATCCATCCACATTGTTGTTCTATGTATCAGTAGCTTGTTTCTTTTTGTTGCTCAATACTAACTAGTCCCATTTTCAATGAACCATAATTTGCTTATTTGTTCACCAGTTGATGGCCATTTTATTGTTTCCAGTTTTTGGTGGTTAGAAATGAAATTACTGCAAACATTTATCTGGAGGTTTTTTTTTTTTTTCCTGTTTTGCTTTTTGAAACAGGGTCTCTCTGTGTAGTGAAGGATGACCTCAAACTCATAATCTGATCCTCCTTCCTCACCCTCCTAAGTCTGGGATTGCAGGCATGTGCCACTGCACTGGATACCTACAGGCTTTTAAGTAGATCTATGTCTTCATTTCACCTGGGTAAATATCTAAGTGGGATTATGGAATTGTAGAGTAATTGTATATTTAACTTTTGAAGAAACTTCCAGGTTTTTCCAGAGTAGTATATCCATTTTGCAGCCCCATCAGTGGTGTAGGAGAGAGCTTCAGTTGGTCCTTAGCCTCCTCAGCATTTGACATTGTCAGTTTTTTGTTATTCTAATGGTAACGTCATGTTATTTTATTGTGGTTTCTATTTGGATTTCTCTAATGATTAAGATTCAGAGGAGTGAATCTTAATCTTGTTTCTATTTGGATTTCTCTAATGATTAAGATTCAGAGGAGTGAATCTTAATCTTGTTTTTGCTTGTTTTTATTTGTGGCACTGGGACTCATTTATGCTAGGCTACTGAGCTACATACATCTCCAGCCCCAAGGTCACAGTTTTTAATACCATTCTAGAATGGAGTAGATTTTTTTGAGTGCCAAATAAAGGAACTATTCATTCATTATTTCACAGTGATAAGAAAGTGATGGAGCCTACCAAGGAGGACAGAGGGAGCTATACTATGATTGTGCCCTGTCAGGCTGCTTGATGGTGAAATGGTGACATCCTTGCCTCCCCCTCACTCCACTTGCCCCACCCTGCCTTCATGACACACTAACGCTGCCTTGATGGTGCACTCCGCAGTTTTCTCCTTGAGATTCCTATTTAAACTAAGTGTCACCTCCTTTTGAAGCACCCAGGATCTCCAGGAGCTGCCAGGCACAGCATGCAAGATGATGCTGTGGCCAGGTGTGGTGGCACACTCCTGTAGTTCCAGCACTCAGGAGGCTGAGGCAAGAGGATTGTCATGAGTTCAAGGCCAGTCTGGGCTACATAGTGAGTTCAAGGCCAGCCTGAACCATTAGGCTGGGAGACAGTGTAGCTAGACTCTGTCTCAAAAAAAAAAAAAAAAAAAAGAGATCATGTTGTGGAAACAATGTGGCCTCTTGTGGAGCTGGACTTGATTAGCTTTTCTGGACTGGTTTCTTATTAGCTGTGTGGCTTTGGGTAAACACATAAGCTCTTTCAGCCTCACTTTCCCCAAGTGTAAAATGGGTATGACAATACCTACCTCAGAGGTTGTCAGAGATAGCAATACCTACCTATTTGTTGTCGGAGATAATATCATCATCTTATGATTAATTTGTCTCTATCACGGTCCTGTTCAGCGGTACCATGGGTATTTCCTGGTATAAGGGCAGGCTGCGTGACTTGTGTTTCTTGTGTCTCTGTGACACAATATTGGTACATTCCAGTCCCTCAACACACATGTTGAAACGGGTGGACCTCAAAAGATTCTCAGGGGAGCCAGGTGGCCAGGCCCCGAGGGACCCCGGCTGTCATCAAGCCGCAGAGCTTTCCTGGAGCCGCGACACAGACTTAGTATCTTCCTTCCGCAGAACCAAGGACTGAGTCTGCAGCTTGTGGTCCAGATAACTGTGTCGGGGACACGTGGATCTGACCCGTGGGGAGAAGGGGGACCAGCAGAACAAACCCTCAGGGAAAAAGAAAAAAGAGCGGGGAAGACATTAAAAAAGAGGAAACTCGGTGGAGAGGACTGGCTGAGAAGCGGGAGGAAAGGCGAGATGCTGGGGGGGCTTCGGGTGCTGGGGGCCGGCCGGCAGTGGGGAGACGGAGCACGCCGGGAAGGGCCCGAGGAAGGGCCCGGGGCCCCCGGGTGGGAGATGGGTCGCAGCGGCGGACTGGGCGCTGCCAGCTGCCCGCGCGGCAGGTGCGGGGGGCGGGGCCTCGTG